AATAATAATAATAATAATAATAATTGTTGTTGTTGTTGTGGTAGTTGTTATTATTATAGCAAAAAATCTTTATAAGATTTTGTTGTTATGTGATTTTTAACAACGATGTAACAAGTGATTAAGTAGATAATTATGAACGGTTTGGACGTAAAGCATGTAAAAATAACTCAACAATGGCCACGGTCCGAGGTGAACCGAGGTGAAGAGCCGTGATGGGCTTTTACGTGTTGCATATTACTGAGTTCGGAGAGATCCCCGCACAAATGTCATTGGGTCGCTATTTATAGCAACTTTTTTCGATGGATACATTGGAATTTGTGTACTACTTTTCGTATAAAGTAGCTTTTGGTGGGCGGTTTGGAGCAGCGGGCCCCACATGAATGATGATGAGCTTCGTAGAGTGTGATAGAAGTGTGTAGGCGCCTTGTCACCTGCTTTAGGAGGTGATGACCTCGGTTCAGGTTGATCTCGGTAGATATTGGTTACTTCGGTCCTCAGTAGTTCGGACCGGTTCATTCCGTGGGCTAGCGTGGCTTTAGATCACGTCGGTTCAATAGTTAATTTTACTTAACAAGGATGCTTAAAAACTCCTTAATGACGTTTTGCCGAGTCGGATGATAACAGAGAGGCCCCCAATATCGGTGGGCATACGGAGTGATGATCATCGATAGCCAAACACCTAGAGGCTCCGAATCGGTAAAAAGTTGGCGGCTGAGTGTACGTCATACTCGGTTTCCCGACGTAACCGAGGTAACCGAAGTGAGTTGCTTGTTCCGAAGTGCAGACTAAATTCTGAGGTGAAAATACTTGGTAGAATTAGAGCCATTTGCGGGCAGTCGCGATAGGAGGAATGTGAATAGACGTAACGGTCAACGATTTAATGTCAGAATGGATGGTCGCGCCGTAATGGTCTTAAATGAGGTAACGGTCGGCTTTAATAGGTCGCCACGTGTAACAGTAGGTTTCTACCAGACGAAAAGGTGGCACCGGTTGGAATTAGGAGTCGCGTCGGTTATACGCGCCCCTAATTAAGATCTCCAACGGTCACAAAGGGAGAATTATAAATAGGGTTTCACAATATTGGATCGAGCTTTCTTCACTTTTGCTTCAATTCTTGAGCTTTTGCCCCTGATTTTTTGCATACAGTAGTCTTGTTGTTAAAATTCCTCTGAGATATCGAGAGTGGTTCCCTGCGTATTACTTGTTTGTGGATTTTTCGGTAAGCTCCTTCTTTAATTCTTCTTTTATTTCTTTTGTACTTTGTTTTGTTGTGCGATGGCATCGAAGGGTAAGGGCAAGGCAGTGGCAAGTTCTTCCAGTACTGAATCGGTTCCGTTGGAAGTCTACCATGATTCGGAACTGGTCGAATTGGCCTTTGAATACCACCGGTGGGACCCGTCGTTGGTGAGGCATCTAGATATTAAGTTGAACGATGAGGACGGTGACCTGATCATAGAGCATAATGCGGCTGACCTTGTGACGCCTCACTGGAGGAGACCGGTGGGGAAGTGGCCTGATCCTGCGGTTGATTTTGAGGGTGAACCGAGTATCTTGACCGATGCCGATGTCGTATTGCTGCGAGAACAGGTTCGGGTTCCTCCCTCGGTGAAGATTTTTGCTCCTTATCCCGGAGAGAGAATAACGAGTCCACCTCCGGGTTGTGTGGGTATATTTTCTGAGAGTTTGAGATCGGGGTTGAGATTCCCGTTGCCGAATTTGATTACAGAATACCTCCAAAGTTGGGGTTTGCCGTTGTGTCAGATCACTCCCAACAGTTGGAAAAAGATTATCGGTTTGATGGTGTTGTTGCACGAGCGAGGTGAGGGGTTACCATCGTGCGAGGAGATGAGAAGTATTTTTCTTTTTAAACAAAGTCCGAAGAGGAGGGTCGCCGAGTCTTCGTGTTGTTTCTTTGCCGGAGCGAAACCGCAACACGGTCTTAAAGTTGGAGAAATAATAACCGAGATCCCGGAGAGTCTTCACGATTTCCAGGAGGAGTGGCTATGGCTTGGCGGGGAGTGGCAGTCTGAGGACTTTTTCCATGAACCCCGAATTGACGGGATGACAATCCCTATGTTTATTCATTCCGGAGCAAGTGAGTTTGTTTTATTTCTGCAATTCGGATATATTTTCCTGATTTTGGTGTTGTTCTTTGTACTAACAGGTCGGAACTTTTGCTCTTTGTAGAAAAAGAGACCAAGCAGAAAGAACCGAAGTTGAGCCTGGAATTCGGTGGAAAGTTGATCACTTTGGCCGGCTTAGATAAAGGAGTTCGAGATTATCGTACGCTTTTGGTTGATTCGAAGCTTGAAGCTGCTGGTTTATCTCTCGGAGTTTCTACTTCAAAATTTGACCCCGGTAAGAGAAGTTTAGTTTATGATGATTTCGTTGGACTTTCTATACGTGTTGAATAGCTATTTGTAACTCTATTTGTCTATTTCCGGAGTGCAGTTTATTATCCACTCCTCGGATTTCTGGGCTATAGCTCTGTCAAAGAAGCTAAGGAGTTCAGGCGCAAGTTTCTGAATAGAGATCTTCAATCCAAAGTTGGCAAAAGTCGAGATTTGAGATTGAACGACACCATGAGGAGAGATCTTGTTCGTGCGTTGGTGAAGAAGACTGCCGGTCAGAAAAATACTGGTAAGAAATCGACCGAGGTGGGGTCAAGCGCGACTTCGGCCGCTATTCCTGAAAACTCGAAGTCCGTGCCAGAGGTGGCAACTACCGAGGTGCTGTCGGTTGTGAATGCTGCTGCAATTAATCAAGCAGATCCTGAACCTGTTGTAGCGGGAACCGAGATGGTTACGGCCGAGGTCGTTCATACCGAAATGCCACCCTCTTCTCCGAAGTCCCTGGAGTTGGAACAACCGGAGAAGAGGAAGAAAATAAAGTTGGTGAAGATGGCAGATGTTGGAGCTTCTTCCGGTGTGGAGAAGAGATCAAAGAAGAAACATGATTCCGGTCGTAAGGCAGCGGAGAAGGGTAAGGATGAATCCCCTTTATTTGAAAAATCTTTCTTGTCTATTGATGAAGAGAGGGCTGCGAACGTCAAAGTGCCTGAAGGTGTCGTGGAGGAGTGGTTTACTACTTTTCAATCTGTAAAAACGCTGCACATGTCATCAAGGATTGAGATGCCGGAGAGTGCTAAAAATGCTGCTCGTGTGCTGTTGATGGTGTGGGACCCCAAATCGGAAGTGGGGGTCTCTTCTTTGTCGAGTGCAGATAGGTTGAGCTACGCGAAGGCGTGTGTTGGCAGGGCATTGGTCAGTTTGGTTGCTGCCGAAGACGATCACCGCCGAATTGCGTCGCAGTTAGAGGGGAAGAAAGATATAATAGCTGCGCGTGACGTCGTGATCGTCAAGTTGAAGGAAGAATCTGCAAAAATGGAGGCCGACTTGAAGGGCCAACTTTCTGAGCAAACCGTACAGTTGGAAAAGGCACAGGCTGAGACCTTGGCCTTATCCGAGGAGAAGAAGGCCTTTGAGGCCGAGGTGGCCGATCTTAAGGCACGCCTGGCCGTGGTTGAACAACGCTTCAAAGCTTCCGAGGCCAAAGTGGAGGAAACGGTGAAGGCGCTGTCAGACGAAAAGGCGGGGCATGAAATAACTCGCCAAGAGTGTGCCGAGGTCCGCGAGATGGTAGGTCGGCAAAGGGATGCCCATCAGGCTGAAATGGCGAAGCTTGAAAGAGAGAAGTCGGCTTATGGTGAGACCATGTACGAGATCGGTTTCCAAGCTGGTAAGGAGACCGCGGTGGCTGTGGAACCGAAGTCAGTCGATGGCGCCGAGATCGAAGCTGTTGAGGCCGGTGCAGATGATGAGGTCGGTGAACCTGACCTGGAAATCGAAATGAACACCTGTTTAAACCTCCGATGGGTTATTGAGCGTTATGACGCGGGCTATTATGATATTGATGACATCCATTTGTTCTTGTTTCACAAACTCGAAAAATACGGCTTCGACACTGAAATCAAGGGGATGCACATGGAGGCTGATGAAGATGAACGCGAGTTTTGTGTATGGATGCTTCGCCGATCTGAGGAGATGAATGCTGATCCTGACCTACCACCACTTTCTGAGGACAGAGCTGCTCTTCTCCGACGTGCTTACGTCAACATGATTTTGGAAGGAGAGAAGGGGAAGAGGAAAGAGCTGGCCAACGTCTATCTCTCAACCCTTGCGGATATTAAAGTCGA